TTCATGCAAATACAAATGCAACTTGCAAAGAATCTCAGCATCTTTTTCCCAACAAAAAAAAAACAAAAAACTGAATTTTAAACAGGTAGAAAATAAGTATATAGGGATTTAAAAAGCACCTTTCACCTTTCTCAAGTTTGATGCACTCAATATTTCTTTGTCGTCAACTGAACTGTTTGCTTCTCTTCCGTACCATGTAAAACACAAAAAACTAAGTTCTGTATTTTTCAACCTGGATTTTCCCATGTTTTTGTTCTATGTGACTAACTGGGACAACATTTTTTGAAATTGGTCAAGTATTGAGCGAGCGTGCCGCAGTCGGCAGCAGCGAAGCATGGCTTCAATGTAATGTTAAAGCCGATTGCGCCTCATCGTTTTTGCCACTGACCGGCTCAGATTGTTATTATAAGTGTCTGACAACATTGTGGAAAGGATCCCTACAGAGACAGACCTTTCTTACGTAATTTTACCTTGCAGAATGCGGAAGCTGCTGGTTTAGCTCTGCCTCGGTCGGATAGTTTGTTTGCGTTTTTGAGACTTTTGTGTTTTCATTTGTTTGTGTTATTGTGTGACTTTGGTGTTTTAAAGGGTTAAAAACACCAAAGTCACACAATTTCACAAACAAACTAACTGGCAAAAGTTTAGTGGACATACTATAATGGGGCAAAATTACTGCAAGGATTATGTTGCAGCCCTGTTTCCCTGTTCTGCCACGTAAAGCCCTGTTTTGTTCAATACTGGACCAGTTTCAAAAAATGTTACTTAGTCACATAGACACAAAAACTTGGGAAAATAGGGTCCAGGTTGAAATAAATATATCAAGTTTAACCAAAACATGTTTGAATATAGCATTTCATGACTGACAACGGAATTGAATTTGTTTTCAGTGTAAAAAAACAAAAAACAAAACATTTTGGACTTGAACACACACAAAGGTATAAAATTCCTGTACAGCTTTCCAAAAAAGCAGAAAAGAAAATCCCATGCAAACTCCCCCAGGTGTACAGACAGAAACAAGCACACAGAGACCTTGTATCCTACATTAAACTGTTATCTAGCTCCTCTGCCCTCTCCAGTTTACCCTGGGTGGGGAGTGCCAAGCTGGCATTGCCCATGGCAGATGGCACTGTTTTTCTCTAGGACAGAGGGGGGATCAGTGACAATCACAGCTCGGCAAGCTGTCGACTTGATCACTTCATCTGTGCCCTCGCTCACAACACACACAAACACAATTCACAACTTAATATGCAATAGCCCTCTGTTAAGTCACAGTAAATGTCCGCTTTGCTGTTATTGTCTATGCCAACTGCATGCTGGGAGCAGAGACACACAGTCAACATAATGACCCAGCGGCCCTTGAGTGCATGGTAGTGTTTGGAGCTCTATACGTCTGAGGCTAAACACACACTGCTCAATTTGAAGCTATTCCAGACGTAAGACACAAATTTAACATAGGGGAGTTGGAACACACACACACACACACACACACACACACACACACACACACACACACACACACACACCTAAGAGCCCCAGCAGAAATAGATAATCATTGCAGAAGTCATGTCTTCTAAATTAATAATTAGAGTAATGATTATTATTATCACCTCTGATTGACCTGAAAATGACAGCTAAGGCAGTGCATGTGCACACGCACACACACACACACACACACACACAGAGCTCAGTTGCTGAGGTTATTGAATTATCTCTGGGTGGGTGGTGAGGTGACAAAAGGGGACTCTGATTCAAAGAGAGCAGAGAATGAGATGACTGCATAAATTCAATTGCTCTGCTTTGTCTTGGTAGCAAGTACATCTTAGAGAGTAGGAACAATTTAGTTTCGGTTTAGTTTACATCTGGATCTGGGATGATTGCATAGCCAGACAGTGTCACTTTTCTGGAACAGTCTAGTGACAATATTGTTTAGAAATAATAAAACAGGTAAAACAGGTAGACTGTTACCACGAATGGATGCGCCTGGTCTTTCATGCGTGCTGTATAGAGGAATTGTGGTACTGGTGCTATTGGCTGTTTATGCCAGCAGTTTACCCTGGCCTCTATTCGACCTTAAAAAAAAATAAAATTATGAAAGCATCATTGCTGTCAAAATAAAAATCAGAACAGAAACTGCACTGATAAATTATTTTCAGTGTACTCTAAGGATAACCCTGTGAGATTAATGATGAAACTGAATGGGAAATGGACTTTTCACTTTTCAAATTGGCAGACAATGTACTACTTAGAGCAGGGGTTCCCAAACCTTTTCTGTGACCCAAACCGCTGTAACATCTACATTTATAAACTACTCAAAGACACACAAACAACAAACCATAAAAGTAAAATGTAAGTGAAATGTGTCATTATAATAGTACATCACAGCAATAATCATATTTGCTAAGTGTAAGATTTCTCACCACCTCATAACAAACATGCACTGAAAAATTTTTAAATCAATATTAAAATCAATTTGATGAAATGACTAAATATTCGCAATCTTGGATTTCCATAGCAGCACTCAAGCAACACTCTTCAATAGTCCAGTTTAAAGACATAATAAGTACAATAACCTTGTTCTTCTTAATTAAACTCGGACTCAGACTCAGACTTTTGCTGTGGTTTTCCCACCACTCTATACTGTAAACACCAGTTGTACCTAGTTGTTATTTGCAAATATTGTTAGATCTCTTATGTATGAGACATATTTACCAGCAAATCAGTGACTGCTGTTTGTGTTGCTAAAACATTCAGAATGTTTTTTGTTGCATCATCCTTGGTAAAGTTTGGACAGAACAGTGAAATGAAGTCTCTGGGGCATGGCCGTCGCTGGAGCCGACATGTCTGGCAGCAACATCTATGAGATGCCGCTCAAAAGTTGCTTAAATACATATATTCTCTGGGGAAGTGGATTGTTTGCAAAAACAGGTGGGTGTATCAAAACGTCAATACTGACTGTGTACTCTCTCTTCTCTCCTCTCCAGCACTGTTGATATGCAGTACCAGTCCTCTCACAATTTTACACACACACACACACACACACACACACACACACACACACACACACACACACACACACACACAGTGTCTCTGTGGGACTGTGGGCAGCATGCCCTTCAGCAGTTGCTGGCCACTGAACCAAGATGTCCCCTGTTAGGGTGGGAGTGGGGAGGAGGAGCAGCAGCAGGATACAGTTTCTCTCTCTCTCTCTCTCTCTCCTCCTCACATCTCCCTCCTGGAGGAGGAGACATCATCAGATGCTGTCCAGTCTCCAGCCAGTAGGACAGGACTGAGATTAGCAGTTAGCTTTGAGGTTTAATTAAATACTTGCAAGAGGTAGCACTTAAGAAACTCTCAGTAACTGATGCAAATACACATGCACATAATGTACTGTACCCATAAATAATGTTGGATATCAACAGTCTGACACTGAGGTAGGGCTGACCCCGAATAGTCGAAGATTCATGCTTCGATGGGCGGAGCCTGATTCGACTGATCTCACAGTTGAATCATCGCAGTGAAACAAGGATCATGCCATTTTGGCGATATGGGGGGGCTCAACGTCTGATTTTACATAGAACTACCAGTTTTCTCCCAATAAGTTAATATGCAGACTATAACAATATACATTTCAACGTTTAATGCTGTAACTAAATATGTAAAAAGGATAAAACTTTCAATAAATGTTTTTGAAGTGCGTGAATAAATCCAAAATTGTAACCCTAACCCTGGGTCGTCAGTGCGCATGTGTACGCGTAGCGTGTATGTGTGCAGTGGCAGAAGAGGAACGCTTGCTGAAGAGACCTCAGCTTCACGGTGTTGTGTCGAGTTGTCCGCACCTCGCGGGATTTTCGGGTTAATTTATCACCGTTGATGAACCACTTAAAGAATATTTTATCGTTTTTAAATAGCCGGCTACTTGAAATAGACCCGCGGGGAACCGTGACGTGCATGCAGTTGTCGGCAGCAGTAATGCACGTAAAAGTCTGCACAAGACCGTTGATTGACAGGCGAGAGAGAGAAAAGGGTCTTCAAAAAGCCTCAGTTTAGCTGGAAATTTACAGTGTAAGTTGAATGAAAAGAGACTGCAGCTCTGCAGCTTCTCAAGATTATAGCGGAGCTAACTGCCGCGCAGAAAAACACACGATTAAACTATCAGTCGACTATAGGCAGGACTTGACGATTCTGATTCGACTATGTAAATCCTTAGTCGGGGACAGCCCTACACTGAGGTGAGGAAGTGACAGAAAGAGTGAAGACACATATACAACATACACATACTGGAATTTCAAAGGCCCTAAAAATGTTCTCAATCAGCTTTTTTGTGCTTTTTTTACTGGTTTTTAAGTTGGCAGGGTACAGCTGGAAAAAAATAATCTCGCATACCCCCATCCACCAATCAGGATTTAGTAATATTGTCACAATCACAATCTGAGGGCACGCGGTGTACAGGATGTTTACAATGTCGCTTCATTCTCACCTAATTTCCTGTGTCTTCCTATATAGATATATAGTGTGTAAATCTCCCACCCCAAACGAACCCCTTTGTCTGCTTCCTCACCTTCTTCTCTGCTTAACTGAGAACTCCCCCGCCATGACACGTCCTGGTCTACACACTTATCAATTCCCATTCGACCCACGGTTCATGCCCTCAAGCTTGACCCTCAGTTCATCTCACCCTCCAATCTCGACCTTTCATTCCTCTGTGCCCTCCTTCAAATTATTGTCATAAGTGGGATGGTCTTTGTTAGTCAACATAAAGTTATAATACATCTGATAGGATCCAAAGTGAATGCATTGAAGGATCTGGAAGTAAATACCTGTGTTTCTCGCTGTACCCTTCTCTGTCTTGATTGCCTTGCTGCATCTCTGTCTAGCCTCCACATGAATACTTTCCTCCAGGGTGTTTTCTAAATAGCTTTCCATCAAGTTTTGCTGTTATATTGTCCTTTCTGTTGGCTGAACTGAACTAATTTGATCTTTCTGATTTCATTCTCTCATGCAGCAGCAGGCCGACTAGCTGAGCCCTTCACTCTTGTGAGTTCTTGACCTGACGTGGTGCATCGGCCCTGACGAGACTGACAAAAAGGGTTGAAGAGGGTAGGGCGCCTGTGTCTCAGTGCAGTATTCATGTGTGTGTGTGTGTGTGTCTTGAGAGAGAGGCTGGCAGAGAGAGACATGCTAGCCTGCCCTCTGTTAGATTAATGCCTCCCCTCTTCTTCTCCTCCATCTCAAGCACCACCTCTCTCCATCCTGCACGACCTTCCTTCCCTCCTCCAAGAGAGGGGCCATCCATCCATTCGCTCACCCATACTTCCATCCGCCCATCTGGCTGACTGATGCACAGAAGGGGAACGAGACTGTCAAGATCCCTGAACCTCAGCCGAACCATTCTCTCTCTCTCTGTCTCTCTCTCTGTCTCTCTCTCTCTGTCTCCTTCCCTCCCTAGCCATTAGAAGTGGTTGAAGGACTGATAGTAAGGACAGCATATCTCTATAGTTAATATTAATGTGCGGAGACAGAGGACAAGGTCTCCCTGAAGAGAGCTTTACTTTGACATATGCTCACTGATTCTCTACCTATCCCTCTAACTCTGTTTCAGTCTGTCTTTGTCCCTCCCTCCCATCATCTGTCTTTTTCACATCTTTGAATCCTCTCACCTTCTCCCCTTTGACTCTCTACCTCTTTATCTATCTCTGGTTCTTTCTCTTTATCCCTCTCGATCTTTCAGTGTAGGGAGTTTGAAACATCAGGAAGGGGAATGAGACAAAGAGAAATGAGGGTTATAAAAAGAGGGATGAAGGATTAAACCGGTGAGGGATGAGTTTGGCTGCATGCAATATGGCCGTCATTCGGGAGGCCACTAGGTACTGTGTCCTGCCTGTCTAATACCCCGCACTGTTGAATTACTGCTGGGTGCTCACACACACACACAAACATACAGTGTCAGTGACATCCAGCTCCTGTCGAGGTGTAAATCTCAGACTTAACACGTCACCCACTAAAGCCAGGTGCGGAGCAGCAAGCGTCATATTGTGTCTAAACCAGACTACATTCACAATCAGATCCACTGACAGCCAGACAGAGCAGAGCTAACACTGCACATTTGCACAACATACACAAGAGCAGCCGTTAATGTTTTACTCCAGCTGCCAAATCAAAAAATCCAACATGCACAGATGACCTTAGTGTGCTACAGTGAGCAAACCGAGCCAAGCACCTTATAACTTAAGTTTATGCGATTTAATGGGACATTAATTTTCCATTATTAACACAAATGACAGTGAAATGGCCTGTTTAGTGAGGGTGTCCTCCAACCAGAGCGCTAAGTATCTTGAGGAATGTACACGTTATATTTCTTGCTCAAGGATGCTGTGACAGGTGTGGCCAGTTGGGGAATCGAACCTGGACAGTAGCTGTCAGAGGATCCTTGAGGAAGAAATTCTAAAAGAAATCAATACGCTCTGCAGGATACTTTCGCTTGAACTGTGCCTACTCGTGCTGCAACCCGCATTTAACAACTGAATTCGCAGTTATTCTGTCCATAGAGGGTCCTCTATCTATGACCGGTCCTATTGTCGTAAATATCTCAGATGTCAATATTACTGCTGGGTCTCCGCATCAGTGTAGTGAAGAATTTTTTTTTTTGGTGGGTGGGGGGGTTACTTGGGTAATTTAGGTGATTCTATGATCTCAACCGAGAGTAAGAAGGAACAGAGGGAATCAAAATCCAACAGAGACAATTTAAAAAAAAAAAATTAAAGCAGTTGGAGAGCAAAGTCTGCCTAGATTCAGTAGATCAACCAGAAAAGCAGCCATGTAAGATGGAAAATGCATAATCCTGGAGCATAATAAAGAACCAGTGCTGTGGTTGTTTGCGTAGCGGCAAACAATGGGATAGCCATGTTCTCTCATCTACCGAGGCCTTGTTCTCAGGGTTTCAATTAGGGCCTCTTGATTTCCCCAGGGGTCCCTCTCTCTCATGGAGATGCCTCATTAACAGAGACACACACACGAGCAAACAGGCACACACACACAAACACATTTGCTTCTGAACTTACCCCTGACTTCTCATCAAAGATCTTGATCCCTCCAAAGGAAATGGTCAGAAACACCTTCTGTTTGTGTTCTCCTTTAGACCGTGCTGCTGCAGCTATTCCCTGCGGACAGAAAGACAGACACACATGGAGCAAACAACCACGTTAGAAGCAGGACAGAAACGCACATGCAGTGTAATGGGAAGGTGAGTCCATAAAGAGCCTCTCTTTGGGCACCTTCTCTCAGAAGGATTCTTTTCTTGTTGGATTATGAATTTTCTTTTACTTGTCAATATAAAATCGCTCTAAAAAATCATGAATAGAGAAATTAATCACAGAAGAGGTGAGATCCTGCAGCATCACTAGTCCATAGTCTTTTGATGCATGCTTGTGATGAATATTAACCACCATAACGTGGACAAAAACATGAATATCTGAAAAATATTTATTATTCACACCAATATCTGGTAAACCAAACACACAGGACTACAGTGCATTAAAGAATATATTTGTGAACAATGGCAGAGAAAGAACATTTTGAGAACACTGGTTAAAAATGTACAAAATAATTTTGAAAAATGACCCTTCCTTAAGTACATTAAGTACACAACTTTTTAATTGTAACAAACATTAAAATTATTATAGTTATTATTTAAGTCAAAAAAACAAATATCCCCAAATATCACATGGCCAGTACCAAGCTATGTTTGCTCTGTTCAGCCAAATACAAAACCATAATGTCATATCTTAGGCTGTTGAAAGGCATTGTGGGAAATGTAGAAATCCTTAATAGAAGGCGGGCAAAAGCAGACAAGGCAAGTTTAATTGCAACAATTCATGACAACATAACAGCTTGACTTCACCGAATGTGACATGCTGATTATTTATACCACTATAAGTGTATCTAATTCCCCTTTACGTTCACCCCACCTCCATTTGCATAGGTGAGTCACAAAAGGAGAAGAAAAGAGAGGGGCGAGATCAGAGAATTGAGGGAGTCGGGCAGGGAGAGGGAGGAGCAGTATGAAAGAAGAGGTGGAGAGATCAGAGAAAAAGAGTTGATGGATTTCCTGTCTGAATAAATGAAGAGGAGGGAAGCTGTTTGATCAATGAGCTGTCTATCCTCTCCTCACCCTTCTGCGCCTCGGCTGGATGGAGTTTTCACTACACAAACAAAACGGAAAATGTAATTTTCCCAATTTAAATACCTCCTGCAGTATGTGGATCCCATGTGTTAAAAGGCGATTAATAATGAATAAAGCACTCTACATACTGACTGTTTTCAAACTCTTTCAGCGTACATCTATGGAGGGAAAAAAAATCAATATCTAGGCTTTGTGTAAAGTTTTGACTGTTTTTGAACATTTTCTAGTGTAACATTATTTAGACATGAGTTTTCCATATGCACGCTACAGTAAAATATTCCACTAAAGCAGCTTGTTCATTAGGCCTCTATTTATAAATGAATAAATAAATGGCCTATTTCTCCACTCCCATCTCTCTTTCACCTATCATCCAAACTATCCCCCTCCATTATGCCTTCTCTCCTCTACTAACTGCCCCATCTGTCTACCTCTCCCTCTAATTGTTCCTGTCCTTGCAAATGAGACATTCACCCCGATTCCCCTCTCATCCATATGGCTAACCTCCTCACTTCCTCCTGCACTGATCATCGCCCCGCCTATAAAGGATAATGTCCTCATTTTTTATCCATCTCCTTCCACCCTTCTCCTCTGGTAATTTGCATAGAAAAATTGCAACCATACATGATTGCGCTTACACACACACACACACACACACACACACACACACACAGGCGCAGTTATTCTATGACTTACAAAACATGGATATTTAATTGAACTTTAGAATATGCATGAACTTGAAGAACTATTTACAGACAGACAACTGTGTTAGTTATTGAGGTTCAGTGGCTTTTGTGAGCCATGAAACTTACTGCGGCTAAGGGCGATCATGTCCACAGGATTTCTGGTTGTTAAAGGAATCCAAATTCATTCAGTCATTTCTACCTACTAACACGCAAAGATGCATGTCAGAGCAACTAAATTCTAAACCTAAGATGCATCAACAGAGAGAAAAGAAAAGAAGAGAGAGACTGTCCTTACCTTGAGCTTCATCATTGAGTCCTGGCAGAGTTTGTCTCCACGGGCGGCAGTGACCTCGTCCAGGCCGATGAGCTTGGCCTTGTAGCGGACGCCATCGCCCTTAAAACGCCTGATGAGAGCCGCCTCGCTGCGATCCTGCCCTGCACACACACACAAATGCAAACTCTGAAGTCTACAGTACATCTTCCAGTCAAGGACCTCCATCTACCTCAGACCAGTGCCATTACCTCAGGATCATCAATCACACAGACCATAAAAAACTTCAACAGTAATCCTACAAAAAGAAAAACAACCATGGTACAGGTCAAAGCTACTGATGTTAGCAACACCTTGTTATGTGATTAAGTCAGACTGGAGGCAGGCACTGAACCGTGCTATCATATGAATGGCACCGGTCAATATACTCAGACACATGAATCAATGCAGTTTGGCGGGATTAGAGTTACAACTGTGACATCTCCTCTCTTCTCTGCAAAATAATAGCATGACATTTTGCTCTCATCCCCCTGTGTCCCTCGGTCCTCCCTCTCTCCTCACCCTCAATTGTGTGCAAGATTGTCGCCATTGTGCACATGCATTAGTGAGTGTCGGCGATGGCGCGCGTGTGTTGACCTTGCTCTTGTCCAGGAAGTCTATATGTTATCTCCTGAAGTGACTACAACGCTCCTTGTCGCACACAATACAGAGCAGAGAGAGAGAGAGAGAGAGAGAGAGAGAGAGAGAGAGAGAGAGAGAAAAGCTGCTCATAAGGCTAAACTCACTTTGTGCAGTGCTATCTATCTTTCTCCCATTCTGTTTCTCTATCTCATCATCAAATATTGTATATATATGTGTGTGTGTGTGTGTGTGTGTGTGTGTGTGTGTGTGTGTGTGCGTCTCTGCGTTGTGTTTCTGAGTGTGTGAAAGACTGCAAGAATGATAGTGAGAGGGAGAGGCATAATGATAATGCAGCAAATTCAGATAATATATTGAGGCATTAGTTCTGTACTCTATAACAGCGTGACTCTTGGAAGGTCATAGTCGGAGTGATGGAGAGGTCCCACTCCTCCTCTCCTTGTTCTTTCACATTCCCTCTATTCACTCTGAGTCCCTACAGCATATAGTAGAAGCCTTTTAACCACAGGCGAGAGCATCGTGTTATATGGCTCTATTGAATCATCTTTGTCCAACACTAATCTCCCACCTCCCTCGGCTTTGTCTGCTGGCCCACACACAAACGTGGTCATTTTTAAATGCTTCATTTGCATTACCTGATTTCAACCATATATAGGAGGGGTTCTAGAGGTTAAACAATGGTCAAGGACATTTAAGGTTATAAAAGGCTCCATTATCAGAGAAATCACAGGATACTTGTGTTGGGTTAGCCCTTGCGATAATAACCTTGCACTAGGACAGCCTCAAATAGCAGGTTTTAAAAGTTTTAGGCTGCTGGAGATTATGTTTGTGGAAATTACTTTGTCTGAATATGAAGGAAAGATGGGCACACTCCATTGATAAAAAAGATACAGAAACACACACACATATTGGGTGGATGAGCTCATTCCTCTGAATCACTGACAAGGCACACCACTCAGTCACAGTCCTACTTGGAGTAAATCACGACTGTCTGCCTCAGAGTCTTCAGAGACAAAAGAGCTGACGAACATCTGTCCTTATTTTGGAGAGAGTAAGAGAGAACAGGTTCCTCTATTGTGTCAAGTCTCAGTTGGGCTGAGATGAGAGTAAATGATTAAACCACCGGAGGATTTTTCTGTTCAACGCAGAGACGTTTGAAGACATTTAAATATTGCCTTCATTAAACTTGAAACAGTCCCGTCAAATGTGCACATGGGCGAATACACATATAAACAACAGTCAGCAGCTATGATGAACCCCTGCCTCAACCCACCATCTCTTCCCTCTGCGTAAATAACATGAAACATGCTACTGTTGCTGTGTTAAAACACAAGACAAGATCTTTCACATCCAAATATGAGCTGCCTGTCAGGACACAGCTTTAAGTCTCTTTTGACTGCTTGTGAAAACAAACAAGGAAAATCATTTTAACAGGGTTGATAATTGTGGCTAGCGAACAACAGGCTTAAAACTAAATGTGCTCACCAGAGAAAGTGAACAGCCAACTCCTAATAAGCTTTTTCAACGGCGCTGGTTAAATTTACACAGTGCCGTAGGTACGAGTCACTCACTCTAGCCTGATTGAGAGGTCGCCATGGTAAAAACTCACAGATAATCCCACCCTGAAACATACTCTGCTTTATGGTCTATTTTCCTCTAAATGGGACCATAATTTACTAAATGACCATCATGTTGTATTATAGAAGACATGAAACCACCGATTGAGACCATAAACTTATTATGAAAGTGTTAAAGTGTTTACTAAGGTAATAAATCAGGTGAGAAGTACGGTCATTTTACCATTATTTCTAATAACCAGACTTCTTTTTGCAACCAGAAGAGTTGCCCCCTGCTGGCCGTTCAATAGAATGCAGGTTTAACGGACTTCCACATTGAATTCACCCAACTAGGCGAAAGCGCAAGCCATGGTGTGGCGATGGATGCAACTAAACTTTAAAAGTGCAAAGTGCAAAAGACACCAGCTATATGTGACATAGTGGTCAGAAGCAACACATGCAGGCAGGGGAGGTGAAAGAGTGGTGGAAGAAAAACTCTGTTTCAGACTCCCCCAAACTAAACATCCAACCATCTCGCCAAGAAAAGTAATGCATGGCAGATCAGATGGGGCTACCACATTTGTGAATAGGCTTATAGTTTACGGACCTCACTAAATCCAATGCTAAAGTTAGCCTAGCTTCCTTGCACACTTCTTGATGGCGTATACCTGTGCTGTGCTATCATCATCTGAAATCAGCTTTACTCATTGTGTGTATCATCATCTCTAACAAACAGTGCATTTACTTCTTCTAAACACATTTGCAAAGTCGATTTTTTTATCATTTAAATAGTGTTTAAACACTGTTTACATTCATGTTTACTAGCTTGAAGTCTTTTTCCAATAGAAACAAACAACTTGTATTACTTAGATTCTGATGAGATTGCATCTCAGTGTTTAAAAAATGTTTAGATCAAATACTTTTTATTGTACGAAGGGAAAAGCTACACTCATTTAATTGTAAAACCAAAAACTTGGATTTGAATGTTTGCTGTGATACATTTTGTTCACCTGGGAGTGTATATTACCTAAATGTGTGAGTGTTAAATAACCCTGGATGTGTCCAGCCGCTTTTGTTTCCCCGGAACAGCGGTTTTCATTTGGGTTTGACATTTAAGACCTGCTCCCTCCATCTGCATCCATCACTATTACTGCTGCTATACTTAGAACACCGAGGGAGAGAAACACAGAGAGAGGGAGAAGTTGAGAAAGGCCAAGAGGGGAAGAAGAAGAGAAAAAGGTAGAGGGGTCCAGGGTTACTTCTCCTGCTGAGTGGTTTATATTATTACCTTTTGGGAGCATGTTCCATGAAAGACCTCCCTGTGAGTGTGTGCATGTGTGTGTTTGCCTCTGTGTGTCAGCAGGGGAAGCATTCAGTCCGCTGTAATTAAATGTCTGCTATTGCTGTGACCCCGCTGAGCTTCAAACACAACTAATGAAAGAATCTTCCGTTTCATCTGTCATGGCTGCTCGTGGCGCACACACTCACACACACACTCACACACACACACACACACACACACACACACACACACTAGCTCACGCTCACACACATACAAGCTTCAAGTCTTGCACTACTTGCACAGAAAATACAACCAAACACACCACCTACCATACCAACACTAATGAAAGAATCTTATGGTACATCAGTCATAAGAGCTCCACAGGTGAACACACACACATATTGTTTCATTAACACACATTCACAAACATCTACTCACATCTGCACAGCCCAACTCATAAAACCACACCATACACTACAGAGGATACCAGTCGTAATATCTGGAATTCAGCTTCCTCAGCTACCGTGAAGCAATTACTAATACCGTATACAGTATATGTGTGTGTGTGTGTACTTGGTATGCAGGGAGGGACTGTCTGTCTGAAGCAACAAGCAGAGAGCAAGGAAAGGACATAAAGCGGAGAGGAAAGGATGGAAAGGAGGACTAGAACGTGATGGATGGATGAATGAGCAAGGCCTCCATTGGATAAATGTCACTCAGGATTAGAGCGTTATGACAGCCAGATCCCCCTGACTCTCTTCTCTTGCTCTCTTTCACA